ACAAATATAGGGTTATACATAGATAAAATCGAACCATTGAATGTCAATACAATGCAAGGTTTCAGGTCAAACTCCTTAGCTAAGTTGGTTGTACGTGGGGAGAACCACAACTAGACTTAGACTGATCACCTATGTTTAATTATGGTTGGACCGACGCACAATCAAGCTTGGATTCGGTTGGTAGACTAAAACGCTTGGAATCCAGAATATTTAAAGAACATCACAGTTCCAAAAATACTTGAGAACTCTTAAAGAGTTTAGTAAACACTTTACGACTACTTGGCAAATAGTTACCTTAAATGCTCATAAAACTATAAGTATCATGATCGTGAATCATGTCCGAAGTTTATCTCGGAATACAAATTACTCAACTATGATATTATACGAATGCGTCTGTTATACCTCTTAGGAATACCTTGCAAGATATACACACATTCGCGAATCATTTCGAATTCGGCTTAGGTAAGTAATCAGTCCATCTTATTTTGTTATGAGTCGTCCGACTTATAATTGAACCATCTAAGTTTAAAAGAAGGACACCTATATGTACTCTTCTTCTTTTGTGACATTTTTGAAGGATAATATACCAGACTCCATGAAATGACGAAACCAGAAAGTTGTTAGAAATCTTGCCTGGTTCCAAAACATCTCGATTCAAAAGAATCATAACTTAAAAACTTGAGGTAGGATCAAAACATCGAGTAGATGTTAACTCCTTCTGTAACATCTTCTTCGTAACTTTGCACAACTTTTCCCAATACTTGGTGGTTTCTTCTCACTCGTTCCAAGTGTAAAATTCCACCCTTGTTAGTACTGTAAAAGTGTGATGCGTCTAATACTCATAGTAGAGTTAATCTCGGGCAAACCAATGTCATTTCTACACATTTGGCATAATTTTAGCACTATCTCTTATATACACATCGATATTTTCACGCGACTCATTTCCCCTTGAACTATTTGTAGTTAGAAAAAGATATGTATCACAAGAGACCAGTCGGTGATCATCCAACACCAGCACAATCGCTTGTTACAAATACGATCGAGATAATGAATCAAACAAATTGTATTTAACATCTTGGTCACTTACAAGGTCGATAGGAACAAAGACTTGGTACAAGGTAGATTTCGTAAGCAACAAACATGTAAGTAATAGTGAAGTCAACCTAGATCCTTCTACGACATTGAATGGATTGTATGAATGAATCCCTGGAGCAAAAAAAGATGGAATCAGTATTTCATGTCAGCTCTTGTGTATAAAGCTAACATGATTAGCTATCACCTACACTTTTAAAGGCACAAATTTTACCAAGTAGAATTATTATGTGTAAATCGTGGGCATTGACTATGCTTATGCCACGACTTGAGAAGCGCCACAAGCGATGCACATGGAAGTGAGGTATAGAAATTGGAACAAGCACTAGTTAAAGTAAAGCTTGTTATGAAGATGGTGAAACTACCCAAGGCTGAAGAACCAAGAGGTAACCACTTGAGATAGAGTAATTGTGATCGGAACAAGGAATGAAATTCAGGAACCATCGGCAGTGACTAGTGCGTTTCTCATTAACCACTTATATACTAAAGTAATTGTAATACATATGTGGATCGAAATATTCTTGAACCCTAAACTTAAACCTATTCTGAGTCATGAACCTAGTAGTTTGGAGAAAATCTGGAGAGCATAGACAACTAGTGAACTGCCGAAAATCTACTCGCAAAATTTTAATAAATTTCATCCTAACACTTACCAAATCATGTTTGTCATGTTAGTCTCGTATGTATGTCACCAAAAGTCCAATATTGTTGTCATTACGACATGATGTCGTTTGTGTCATGTCAAGTCATTATACAACCCCCCCCCCCTTTTTAAATGACAAAGTAACCATGAACGATTGATCTTTACTTATAGACTTTATACCAATTCTGAGCGGAATCTTGGACATTATCTTAGGTATGAATCAACTACCTCCCCATTGTGTCTAGATTTGTACTACAAGGAAATTGTATGACTAATCCTACTCCAAGAGATAGACAAGGTCATTTATGATGACAACTTGAAGAAGAACCTAAAGTTGCTTTCTTACCCTAAAGATCAAATGAGAAGGGTTTGATAAAATGTGAAGGATCAAATCAAATGTGAAGGATTTGATCGAATGCGGATGTTTAAGTGAAGACTTCTTCCCATGAAATGAACGCTGGAATTTTAACAACAAAAGAATTTATGTTGGATACTACCAGTAACCCAAGCGGGAACTTCTTTATGGTAGCCCAACTGTTAACTATGTTAACACCAAAAGGTAACAAAGTCCAACTGGAAAAATAAGTAAGAGATTAGATTCCAGAAGGTGGAGCAACTATGGTGTAATGCATCAATCCTACTTTTCTGAAAGAACATAGAACTTTTTTGTATACAATAACACGTACATAAAGGATTGAAGTGCACATGGATGAATTGAGGCAAAGTTTTTTGACTACGAGTTGGTTGAATGACATAAATGCAGAATTTATTGCCATCACGTCACGTGAGATTCATTAACATTGTAATGAGATTGACAAGGTAGCACATGTCTTGAATCGAAAAAAACGTACCAAACCCCGCTGAGTACGAGTATTAGTTATGAATACCCATTCATAACCAATTGCTCAAATTCGAGAAGTTTTACGCGAGACTATGAGAGAAAAAGGCTTCGCGAGTGACGCTCTGTGAAGATCGGATAAACAGGTCAAGCTCAGGAATCACGGGACACGATACATTATGAACCGAATTTGTACGCCTAAATACAGTAAACACGGGAGCATAGTCTCGGACAAATCTTACAGATAAAAGTGTCCCATCTATCTAGGCTCTAACTAAATGTACTCAGATTTGAAAGAACTGAAGTGCTAAACATACATGAAAGCAGAGATTGCAACTTGAGTGGACAAACATCATAATTGTACCAAATGATACTCAGAGAAACATAATGGTTTCAATTCCATTCAGGTAGTGGTCCATAGATTGATTAAATCCGTCCACTTCCCACTAATCAAAGGAAAGAATGAGACGGAAAAGCTAACCAGAAATTTCCAAAGTAATCATCAGACTGCACGAGGTGCCAGTCTCTATCATCTCTTGTTAAGATGATGGACTTACCTAGTAATCTTGACAGTCATCATAATTATTAGATATGTGCCTTAGAATAAGCACATCTTACCATTCGCGATGGTCAAGAATATCTAAACCTTAAGAAAACCGATCCTACGTGATAAATATTGGATAATACATGGAATACTCGTTGTTGTTGATTGAGTCTTCCTACATAGATAGTTGTCACATCAACATAAATACCTCACCGCTTGAGGCTTTGTAAAGAAGAAAGTTTCGATCCTTGATAAGTTGAACAATGATTGAAGATGCGAAACTAAATTAATAATATTAAAAAAAAGCGTTCAGGTAATACATAATATTTGGATCTAAGAATCACTCATGAGGCCACTATTAAGATTGTGTAAACCTGATACCGATTTCAGATTGTACACGAACGACAAGAGAGTTATGTGAATAAAAGTTGTCGGTCTCTCGACTTCCAAGTCCAAGACTGTGTAACATTAAACACTTTCCTTTAATATGAATGATTCGGATTAGAGGAAGAGTCAAGTTAAACGTCGACTCAAAGGACCCTCAGAATTCTTAGACAGAATTTGGTCAAGATATTTATGTCAAGTTTTCTTTAAAATTAAACGGCATGCATGATGTTTTTCATACGCCAAATCGCAAGGATTGTATGTTCATCGACACGCTTTCTATTTCTCTCAATGAGTGTACCAGGAAAACCACGCTAGTGCTTTATATTTGTGAAAGTACATGTGATATATGTAAGGTTCGACAACCTTTAAAATACTTTATTCGATCTTATTCCCTGTTACATGGTTAGTTGTGACATGTGGTAAATTCATCTATTGGATCGACTATCTAACCTAGATCAATGCGACTTAAATCGGCCATAGAATGTAAGATCAAGCAAAAAGAAAATGTTACCAATTGTTTTATAATGTTTTATCTACACTTTGAATTTCGGGACGAAATTCCTTTCAACGGGGGAATAATGTAACAATTGACAAATTTGGTCAACTATTGACGAACAGTTACCGTAAGGGTTGCTATAATCTAGAGCAAATGTACGATACGCTGATGTTTATTAAATAAGTTTAAATGGTATTACGATTAATTGCTCAAAATTTATGTATTATGAACCGAAAGAGTTATGATTTTTCATCCGAGTTCATTTTAAACTTTAAACGTTAATTTACAATCGGGAATCAGTAGCATGAAAACCATAGAATTGTAACAGATTGAGCATGAAACCTGAAAATTTTGACTTCGACATGGTTTCTACTATTCGTAATTCATGTCGAAAATGGTTTAGGAAATCAAATTCGTTGGTTGCGAATCTTAACGATAAAATAGTTCGATATTTCAAAAATCATGTACATTATATACATATATGTGTGAAGAATATATTTTTCAAACAATATAATATGTAGTGGCTAAAGTTCTTATAAAATCCATATTACATATAACAAAAAAAACAAATAGATAATTATGTTAAACACAATGTGTATGTTATTTATCATTCAAAATACACACATAAATACACATATGTATATGACTAAGGAAACTATTAATACATATGAAGACTAATAGAAATTCTACCAAATACATAACTAGATACATATATGTTACCAGTTTTCTCAATCACCAAAACACCTCTACATGTACAAATAAAAGCCAATAATATGCAATGCAATCTACACAAGATCATTCCCAAAACTTGTTGTACACAAATTTATCATCAAAATCAACTGGAAATCTGAACTAGATCATTACACGTGACTATATCAATGACAATAAAACACACACCCTCTCACAAATGGGCAATTTAGTGTTGTACCTCCACAATCCTTTAGAGATTTCCAAGTACTTCCAATGTCTCAAGAACTTCTAAATATCTGCTTTTGATCACATGGGAAAGTCACACAATCATTCACAAACTCACTCCTCTCCCTTCTTTCTGTTTCGATGCACAGACAAGAACACCTCCAATGGAGGTGGTTTTCTTGTGGTTTCCCGGTGAGCTAAGGAGCAGCAGCCCCTCTTCCAGTCAAAGAAGCTCAAACCCAAACACCCTTCTTTTCATTCAATTTTGTTGTCGCCATCAAGAAGAAGAACAACCCTAAGGAGAGGTTGTTTTCGAGTCAGTGAACAAGAGGCAGCTGCCTCTTCTACTTCACATGTCTCCTCATTGCTTCCATTCTCTGTCAACAATCAAACCCAAGCACCCACCAAATTCTTCTTCTTCTTATGCCAACATCAAAGCCAATCACACACCAGAACCCCAATGATTTCAATCAAAGAGAGAAGAAAGAAACCTGTGATTATCGAGCAAAACCACCGGAGCCCCTTGTCACCACCTTCGTCTCTCCCCTGCTCCCTTCTTCGTGTTCCACTCTTGAAGACAATAGATGAATCTAAGAGGAGCTCGTCGGAATTCGACTGCCCCTATCCCCTCCTCACGATCCCACAACCACCACCGAGCCACCCACCTGCTTTCGTTTTCTTTCTTCTTTGTCCGAACAAGACAATCAAGTGGCGCACTCCAAGGGATCGGCAACTAGTACTGCTTTCGTTCATGCCTCTCCTTCCGACAACATGAAGATTAAACCACAAGGTTCGCCGAAGTTTGGTTCCCCCTTCCTCCTTCCGTTTCACGGTGAATCAGCCATCACTGAGACTGACGGCAACACTGCTGCTTCCGTTCACCATCGTCGATTCAGTCAAGTACCGGAGGTGCTCCTCCCTCCTGACGACAGATTTGCCAATCACCGGACCAACTTCATCTCTTTACCTGCTTTCGTTCGTATTTCCTTCTGTTTCCCGATCTGCAAATCGTGTTTGTAGAGGAAGAGGTCAAACTTATTCAAACGTTGATTCAAAATAATTAAATTAAACCCTTAACTTTCAGACTTATATGACTTTGGCCCTTCCCTTGATTTGAATTAATTATTTTAACCCCCATATGAGAATGGGTTACAAATCTAGTCCTAAACCTCCAAATTGGGTTTAAAATGTGCACTATTAGCCCCTGCCTTGGAAATAAATTTAGAGATCAGTCCCTAGTTGAATGATTTTAGCAAAATCAATCCTTATAAATTATTTGTGTTGACATATACCACCCTATACTTAATAATTAATACAAAACTATCATTTTTGTTATATTAGGTAATTTAAATATACTCGGTGGTTCGTCTTAAGAACGAGGAACGTCGCGTAACAAATTTCACGACAAGAATCACACATTGAGCCTCGTTCACGCTACGAAAGTGAGTTTCTACGGCCCCTCCTTTACGGTTTTAATATTTGGGGGAGAATATATGTGTGTCTATTAAAGTTTGATGATTTTCAAGTTTTATATACAAAATAACATCTTACTTTGTTATTGGTCAAACGCTTATGTAATAGCAATCTAAAGATGTGATAAATCACTAGCAAATCTATTAAGTTAAAGTAGATTGTTATAAGTTGATATAATTATACGTTATGTGAAATATAAATATAATTATTAAGAAAAAGCACAAGATTATAAGTAGATTGCTATAATTACACGAGTGGATATTATGAGTCACAAAAATGATGACTTTACATGTATAAGATAAAGTATCTCATGGAAGTATGTAACGATATAATAATGACCAAAACTATTATCCGTGTATAAAGTGAAAGTATATTGCTATAATTTGATGGAAGATTAAATTCATGAAATTATATAATTATTAGTTAAAATTATAAGATTTAACTTTTAATATATATAAGGTTATGTAAAAATGAATCGAGAAGTTATTAATATATTTTTATATTAATTATAACAACATAACTTCATTATACTAAGTTATTTATTTTTATTACAATAAATAACTGATGATTTTGAGCATTCTAACACTCCTATGGTGTACATGCAACCCTATAAACCTTGGATCTATGTTTTCTCTATTATACATGCAAATAAGAACTTTCCAAGGCTTTAATCCTAACTAGCATATTATGAAGTTCTTATACTACAAAGTTCTAGTTAGATGACATACTTTTGATGTAGCTTGATGTCTTCAAGCTTTAAGAGCTTAGCCCCAATAGTGTGGAAGCCTCAAGTGGAATCACAAATCACCAAGACACCTTGGAAGACTTTAGAGAATATGAATACTTGGTTCTATCTAGTGAAATCGGCTAGCCCTTCATAGTGTACCACACTAGTGCAATTTCACCAACCAAGGACATCTTTATATAGTATGGAAACTAGGGTTAAACCCATGACCTTTCATTTCATATGATCCATGGGTTAAACACTCCATGGACTATCCATGAAAGCTTAGCCCAACCTAAATGAACTTGGCCCATTCCATATATATAAAAGTCCATATTTAATTAGTTCATTTTGATCACTTAATTAATTCTAAATTAAGTCTTGATCAATACTAATTAAATAATATGATTCCATATTAATATATTAGAACTTATAATATATTAATATTAATCATAAATATACTATTCTCAAAAGATTATCCATATAAATTGTGTCGGTGAAGTGCAACCCAAATGGACCATGCCGGGTCGGGTCAAGTACATACCAAATATAGTTATGGACTTAGGCATTAATCCAACAGTCTCCCACTTGGATAAGTCTAAAACTATTATTGAGTATGACTTCAAAACCTAACTGGCAATCGTAGCTCTTTAAGCCGCTGTCGAACTCTGATCTTGTCAACGAACTTGTCCTATTAGATAAGGGATCATATATTCCTCCATTCTAGATATCATATGGACTGAGACATGGATTATAATCATTCTCTCTGTCCATTTGTTGTTTCCCGATTTCCGATTTATGACGACTGACTAATTGAACAAATCAAATCAGTCCTGGCCCGGCCGAGCACTTCCATTTGTCATCATCAAATCATCGAGGGGCCCACAGATATCGCTTTTATCCCGAAGGTAAAAGGAATGGATAAACTTCGACTCATATGGCTTGTTCTACTACTTGTTGAATCATACATAAAGGCACATTTTATAACACCGAGTTACCGAATGCGTTTTCGTGCAATCAATGTACAATCAACTCATAGTATCAACTCATATCTCTAGGTTTGAAGAATATAAGATATTATCGTCTCATGATCACTCATGATTAAAATCCATGAAGTGATTCCAATGAGCGCGGGTTGAATCCAATACTCAGAACTTATGAGCACTCATGAGCGTTGTAGCCCTTTGTCTAACACCTTAGACCTCTACAAGCCAACCCATGACAGTCTTAATTCATATCTACTTCCAACATATGACCGACTGTGGATGGTTTGAATAACTTAATCATTCCGGAAGAATAACCTAGTTTATTCGGGAAGTCAAAACATGCAAAATGAAACACAAGAATAATTGAATCTAATATGGTCTCAGAACTTATGAACATAAATAAAACACCTTTTATTTATCACCATATGATTACACATTATTCATTGTATACTGTTTCAGCTATCAACTTTATTCTTGAATTTAAAACAATAGTTGTCCCATACTCCAAGCATATACACTATGTTTTTCTAAACACTAGTCATGCCATACACCAAGTATGCATACTATGTTTGTCTATGATCTTTACTTTGTGAACTAGATCAATTGAACATAACTTCAATGATTCTCTTTTCACAGTCCCAATTCCTTATTGCAAATGCAAGAATTCCAAATTCATGTCATTTACTGAAATCTGTTACATTCTAAACTTATATGCATTGATTCTCTTGTAATGATTATGCACAAAGTCAGAAAGACTTAACAACAACCTAATAGAGCATTCCAAAGGAGATCAGCTCCTTGGAAACATCCTTCTTGCATTAAGTTTCCTAATCTTACACAGATTAAATAATTTCTAACTTTGAAACATTTCCAGACTCCATTTTGACTATCACTTCTGAACAAGAGTTGCCTCCTTACAGATTATGTCAATATGGTCCTTCCAGAATTATCACTATACTTCCAGCTGTCCTTGAGCAACCAATCTTGGGTAAACCTTAGATTGTCCTCGACAACTGTTTAATCCTTTTAGTCATATCTAGTTCTAAACTTTTTCCCTTCTTAATGCCCCAGGCATTTGGAAAATTTTAGAAAGGATGAATATAGCACATGTAATCGATCCTATATCCGAAGCATATGGGACACGACTCATGATGTCTCACATAAAGACTAAACCGGTATTTTGCTATAACATTTCCATTTCTATTTGCCAAATTCTCATAATTCAGATTATGAAAAAGGGATGCCGTAATCATAATCGAATTTTAGAACGTAAATAATGGACTCATATACAGAATTTCCTTATGTTGAGCCATTCCAACATGAAATTCATATATACCCTTGACTAAATGATTAAAACCTCACGATCTAAGCTTATAGATTTGAGATGAAGTATAATTTCCTCTCCCTTAATTATAGCAAAACAACCTTTTCCCAATTGAAACCTTTTGTTTTCTATAATTAACATTACTAACTTGCAATACTTATCATAATTATCATGCTCCCATTAACATGATGATTATTAGCATAACACTTATGCTCCCACTAGCTTTGACATGTACTCAGAAATCAGCTGACTTTCTTACCAAAGTTCAGATTTCTGATACTAGATTGCTTTGATAAAACTTTATCAAAATCATACACCTCTTCTAGATAGCTCATAGGAGTGTCTAAACAATTTTAGAACTATGAAAAGGGATGCCGTAATCATAGTCTTGATTGTTTAGACCTTTGCCACTTCTCACAAGTCCATGTTAGTGTGCCGGTAAACCACACACGCTCCACTAATGACTTTGAGAATGCAAATATCACAATTGCTATCTAGCTAAAATCTACTTAGTGAAAGTGTTTCCTCACCATCATTTTCATGAATCGGGGATAAACCTTATGACACTTAGATTTAATGGTGTATGTGTTCTTATCCATGTGAATTGTCAAAACCATAGTCATAGGACAAGGATAGTGACAAATCCAAACTCATATGGACTGAACTCAATCTAATTTCTTGCCACCTGGCAGCTCAAGGGCCTGCCATTGCTTCCAAGTTATTGTGGAACCAATTGAGAACTCTAAGAACTCATATGCAAAGCCAACTTTAATTGGAATGGGCATAGAATACGTCAACACGATAGGTTATGAACCTCGAGTCGTGTGCTAGTAAAAAACTTCAGGTTTTATTCTTGATTAGTTCTTGAGACTTTCAAGACTTTTAAGACTCCCACTGTCCTCTTGACATATTAGACTTTCTTGTCAGTTATTCAAGAGATAGTGTGGATTCTAATCAAGACAAACACTTCACAAAATTGGCCTAAGATGGTCTTTGTTTTATCCAAAACATCACAACTTACCAATTTCAAATGTACAAGAGTAGAAAACTTTTACTCTTACATTTGACAAGTGTTTTAAACCTTCTTTAAGACATGTCACTCAAGTTACAATCTTGGAGTATGACTCTAAGACTTGTATTGGAACGAAGTTTGACTCATCTTCTTTATTTAACCATTTCAACAGTTCAAGATCCCTCTTCTTAGTCATAAGAATGCTCTAAGATTTCCTTAGAGAGCTAATTGTGCTATGGTTTCTTAATCATTAAGATGATCACAAAAACTGATACTAAAATACTCTCCCATCTTTTCAGATTTGAGAAACTTTTATCCTTCTGCCTAATTTGATTCTTCTTATTCGCTCTACCTTACATTGAAACTTTTCCAATGTTTAAGAATTATACTTTAGCCTGTAAGTATAACCATATTTACTAAGCTTTAGTAAATTATGACGAATAGTCTTATCGATCTTTTATGCTTGACTTGACCAGTGCACAAGAATGTGTACTTGATCCCTTAGTCCTTCTCTTGACTCACACATCCATGTGAACAAGCAGTTAGTCTTAATTTTCCAATGCTCGAAAGTTCTCATTCATCATACTATACAACTTGCATGATTCCAAGTTTCTATCCAACTGAAAACTTGGGTGATGAGAATCTTTCCTTATTTGGTAAATTTAGACACTACCACAAATGAGAGAATAAAATTCATATTTCCAATATTTCTATCAATGGAATCATATAAACAACATCTTTTTTTCCCAAATGCCATTGTAAGGATAGTTTAAAATAAATAAAATTAAAAATTTTTCTTTTATTTTACAACTTTGCAGAAAAACTAATCCTTACAATGCAGATGTATATGAAAA